AACGGTGCACTTTCACTGCGTTGTTAATTTTGCTAGGCTCGCATCTTCAACGAGACTCCGATTAACTCCCGCAAATCCTGTCTGATACTTACCAAATTGTTGTATCTGATTTATCAAGGTGAGCAGCTGAGTCGATCAGAGGCGACCGAGGTCTTCTTTTCCGTTACAAAACTGTGGCAGTCAAAGGATGTCATTCTTCGTCGCTTGGTGTACCTCACCATCAAAGAACTGGCACCAATCGCAGACGATGTAATCATCGTAACTAGCAGGTAAAATTTTGTGTTTTTCTGGAAAGGGACATATATATAAAGAAAAAACAATGAAAATAGGCACAGAACGAGATCACGATGTCGATAGCACGCACTTACGAGTATGCTTAAACCGTTACGATATCCATCATTGAGGGAAACATAGTCATTATGGGCCCATAGTCGACGGAAGACCATTGCCACAATCGCAAGAATGTTCTCATGACCATCTCATTAACGTTAAACTGCAAAAGTCCATTTGCATTAGTTTGATTTTATATTTCTCCTGGTTGGTTGTCCTTTTATACTTTGTGCAAGTTAAAAGTAGAGCGTGGTAGAGTAATAGCGTTAATCTAGTGGGAACAGGTGCTTGCTTGTGGATCAGATGTCAGAATTGACTTTCCCAGTGGAGAACTGCGACCGACAGAATAATAACAGCCGCTGAGTGGTTATAACACTGAATGTTTACTCAGTAGTCAAGAATTTATGATAATTCACTGGTCCTTCGTTCGCTAACAGTTTCGTTTTTCATGAAAGACCTTCACGGCTACCGTAGCGGTTTAGGTGGAACAAGCCCCATCATACTTCACCCTGCATAACAATCCATCATTTCCGTGGTTTTCACAGTCCTGTGATACGGGAGCAATTTACGGTATCGCTGAGATGAAATTTCAGAAAGCATGCATCTTCAGACAACACCATTACTAAATAACTGAAGACTAACAAAAGCGGATTTATAACACTTAACACGATATGGCTGTCGATTGGGTGGCAGACAAATGACTGATTTTTCAACCCTTATATCACGAGTTTTTCTAGATGGAAAGGCATTTTCGGATGCTGCGGAGGTTGTCTGCGGTATGTGATCTATTTGGAGGCGATAGTCATTAATGTAATAATATGTTCATTTTGTTTACCCATATCAGAATTCTCTCATTGGCTCCAACCTCATTTTCATTTATATATTTGCTAACGTTTTGATTCATATTCTGAACGATTTAGCCTGACCAAGGATATGACTGGAAAAGAGGACATGTATCGGGCCGCTGCTGTTCGAACATTATGCAGAATCACAGATGTAAGTTTTACACGCTACTTTTAAGCCATAGAACAGCTATTTAATGGGTGTATGTGACCGTGGAATATTATAGATTGTATGGACCACACATTAGAACGCAGAGATGGACAGATAAGGTTTCTATAAATTATTAGGTGTGCCCCCTATTTAAACTTGTCTCTTCCATGTTTCAGCTTAAGTTAGTTTTGGAAGGAGTATTCTGCGTTTAATTCTGATGTAGATGTCCTTATATATATGCCCTTTTTGAGTTTGTACATTTTTTATCTGTTGATTATTCACATCAATCTCTCCTGATCAGATATGCCCATTTTTGATCATATTCCTTTGTTCTTTATCATTTGAAGTACGTGCGTCGAAACAGAAGAGTTCCCTGTGCTGTTAGAAGTCCATCCTCCCAGGATCCGTATTGAGCCCATTTATGTTTTCGATGGCGACATAACGCGATAACCGAGAATCTGCAGGAGGCAGCCCAATACTGCACGTTCTATGCCGTTGACATTTTGCTATGCAACGCAAACAGAGAAGCTGAATCAAAACCGAAGTATGGAGAACAGCTCTGGAGAGGAACGACCTTCGACTCAGCTAGGGCAAGTCAGAATACATGGCGCGCTATTTCAGTGAGGGGAAACAGGTTGAAAGCCGACAAACCAGTGAAAATAGCCAGGGGTTTCCTTCCTCAAACCCAAGAATTCAGCACGTTTGTTCCATCCAGCAAGATAATGCGGAACTTGACAGCGAGATAAGAAATCTGTCGATAAAAGTTTGGCTCAAATGGAGAGAAGTAGGCGAAGTACTGTGCTACAAGTAGATGCCCATCAGACTGAAATGGAAGGTGTATAGAACGATAGCAATATCGGTGCTTCTGTACGGGGCGGAATGTTTGGCTACCCTGAAGAAAATCGAATGACAGCTGATCTCCGTATAAATGTGAATGTTCCGACGGAAGTGTGGTGTCAGCAGAAAAGACCACACCCGAAACAGCTTCGTAAGAAGCATTCTAGGCATTGCACCAATCTCTAAAAACCTTATTGAAAGTAGGCTCCGCTGGTTCGGTCACGTTAAAAAAGATCTACGTTGAAGATATGATCCAAGCACTGATACTGCCGGGAAGAACAGAAGGGGAAGACTAAAGAAAAAGTGACTGATTTCGACAAAAACGAAGTGAAACTGCGATGAGTCTTTGAAGACCTATCCAAGATCGGACCTCTGTGGAAGGAAACGTGATAGGAAAAGAAAAAGTATATGTCCTTTGGCGAAGCAGCGCCGTCGTTTTCAGTGAATCTTCGATTTGGACGTGGCGTTTGATGCCTTACCATCTGAAGAGAATTGTTTACCTTCGTTTTGTGCTGTGTCTGTATTGGAAAAGTTTAGTGTTGAAACCTGAAGTTCTTTGCAATGATATATATGGAGGTGTCGTCCTAACTATTTCCATAGTAGTACTTAGTGTATTGCTACTGGTGGCAGAAATATTTTAACATTCGCAGTAATACTGCCACCAGCGGAACCACTACCACTATTTTTAGTAATAACTAATAATTTTCCAATCTCTATACTTGTACTAATACCAGGTGCACTATTATATTTCAATGTCATTACAGATAGTACTGAGTGGTATTGATATTGCTAGGAGTAGAAGTGTACTGCGGCTCAGAACTACTTTAAGTGATACTAAGTGGTACCACTAGTAGATCACTGGCATTTTTTGTAATTTTTAGCATAATTTCCATAACAGAGATCGATCCGAAAGATCTAGAATTTGTCTGATAAAACATATATGCTGATTACGCTGTTTGAAGGTTTTGCTGATAAAAAATTCAAATATTCTCATTAAAACAAGTAGTGCCATTGGCTGTTTTGCTATTGACAAGTACTTGAGTTGTACTGCTTCTATCAGCAGGATAGCTGGCAAGAATTTTCATAAATATGCCAACTGATGACCGTTGAACGACCAAGGAAGAGCGCTCGTGTCTTCACGGCAATACTGAAACTTTAGATGTTTGGTTTTGCGTTCCTGAAATGATCGGTAAATATGGTGTAGACATGAATGACAAATAATTGATATTCCAGTGACGCATATTTCGTTGCGGTTACTGTCCATAAGATGTAGACAGAGATATGGGTTGTTTAAGATTCTGGCTGATTTTCGAAAGTGAAACATTCGTTCTTCAGGTTTCAATGCTTCAGTCTATCGAACGTTACATGAAACAAGCGATCGTTGACAAATCTCCCGCTGTTGCCAGTGCGGCACTGGTATCCTCTTTGGTATGGTTTGTAGACGCTTTGGTGAACATGGTTCATTGCATTATTGCGCTTGTTTATTTGTAGCATCTGTTGAGAAGAAACACGGACGCCGTCAAACGATGGATCAACGAGGTACAGGAAGCGGTCAATTCTGACAATCTCATGGTTCAGGTATGGAGGCTTTGTTTTTGGTGGACGGTTCAGCATATGGTGACTTTTTCAGTATCATGGCTTGGCTCTGCTTTATCAGATCCGCAAGCAGGACCGGTTGGCGGTGACAAAGCTCGTGCAGAAGTACTGTAAGCAGGGATTGAAATCACCGTTCGCTGTCTGCTATCTGGTAAGAAAGTTCGAAGTTTTTTTAGTTTAACCGCTCTTATGTTTCACTTGATGTTTAGATCCGACTGGCGGCCAGCCTCATAGAAGATAACAGGTAAGAGGTATAAGCTTATATTGCAAGATGCTTTAGCTTTTTTTCCTTACGTGTACGCTTAATTCAGAGCTGAGAATTTGGTGTTGTTTGACTTCCTCGAGAACTGCCTCCGTCACAAATATGAGATGGTGGTGTTTGAAGCGGCCTGCGCCATCGCCAGTCTTCCTGATATCACCAGCAAGGAGCTGTCGTGTGCGATTTCGGTCCTTCAGCTCTTCTGTTCATCATCTAAGGCGACCATGCGATTCGCTGCGGTTAGCACGCTTAGCAAGGTACAGTCTTATTTATCTGTAGGAGAGGGGAAGTGTCCAAGAGAGAATGAGTATATACCATAATTAATAATTTAAATGATAGCTGAATGACATGTTTCATACATTTTCAGATCGCAGTTGCCCATCCGGCTGCCGTTGCAACGTGCAACGTGGATTTAGAACAGTTAATCACTGATCAGAACCGCAGCATCGCTACGTTGGCCATCACTACGCTTCTGAAGACAGGTGCCGAGTCGTCGGTCGATCGTCTGATGAAACAGATCAGTTCTTTCGTGTCGGAAATCAGCGACGAATTCAAAATCGTAGTCATCGACGCGATCCGGTCGTTGTGTGTTCGTTACCCACGAAAGCACGGCACAATGATGACGTTCCTGTCGACGATGTTGAGGGACGAAGTAAATACTTCCCGATGTTCCCCATTCTCCTTGCTTTATTTTTAATGTTATGCAAAGCGTTTTATTATATTTTTATAGGGTGGCTTCGAGTACAAAAAGGCTTTGGTGGACACGATTATTACTATAATTGAAAACAACCCCGAGGCTAAGGAAACTGGTAAGAAATCATTTTCTGAAATTTTCTGTCGTTGTAAATGCCCACAGTTTCTGCTGTATTGTATTGTGCTATAGAGTACGGATAACGTCTCTGTACTAAAGAAAATTATCGATCAGGAGAGGATCTTCAAACTACCCTGGCGTGCAGCATTCTTCGACTTCTGAGCATCTTTCGACTCGGCACGTCTTCAGCCCATGTGGCACATACTACGGCACTCTTGATTACCGCAGAAGATAATCGGTCTGCCACAAGAACTATACGAAGGTACTACGGGCAAAATCAGAGGAGAAGATGAGTCTTCAGACTGGTTTAACATCAAAAGTAAAGTACGCTAAGGAGTACGCTATTATTCGGCATTGTGGTGAATTATGTGATGCAGAGGAGCATCGTCTCTAACAACAGCGATGAATTTACCATCAGACGATGACTCAACCAAAGCTACTGTGCAATGCTCATAACAGATTTCGAGTACACTTATGACATTGTTCTGCTGAGCGACGCTGGCAATGGCATACACACTCTGACTGAAGATGATCTCTATCTAGAAGATAACCCCACTAAAATGAAGATGATGCGAGCACCCGAGTCGACCATTCAGAGGATGAATCAAGTGGAACAACCAGCGAAAAAGTCGAAAACTTTAAGTATCTCGATTCTGTACTGGCAAGAGATAGAAAGTGTCAAAGTTGAGCAGCACGGGGGGGGGTGGCTTCTGTGAACTACCGGTGACATCTTAAGTTATGGAAGGATAAATCTATCTGACAACAACAAAAATTACTACACTGAAACCCGCTGTTTTCTCAGTCCTGATGTACAGCCCCAAAACGCGCCATGAAAAGATGCTGGATACTTCAGCAGCGCTCCCTTCGGAACATTCTGAAAGTGGGATGATTCCATCGAATGATGAATGAAAAGATTTTGGAGAAGTAGGACCGGCCGGAGGATGCTGTTTGAAGAAATCAGGGACCGACATCTATAGTGGTTTGACGGAAGCATCCGAAGAGTATGGAAACTTGTCCAAATATATTCTCCTCTTGGAAGCAAAAAATTGCCACAGGTGCGTCGGAGGCCTGCATCACATCCTAAAGAAGCTGCTAGAGTGGGACTTCCTTGTGAACGGAAGTGTGACCTTTGCTGCAGCAACCAAAATCGCCTAAATAATTTTGAGAAGGCCAATCAGCAGACATAAATTTGTGTACGCATTCTTTGATTCTGATAACTCAGATGACGATGAGAAGAATAACGCCTTTAGTCTTGTCATCCATAGAATTTATCGTTAGGGGTTGGCACTTCATAGTAGTTAACATCATCGATCTGACAAGAATCAGGATAAAAGGCTTTGGAAATATTGTCGTAAGCCACTGTTTCGTCTGCGTTTCATCACTATCCTTATAGAAACCATTCAATACGTTTAGCCATTTCGTCACAGGAGCGAGTGAAACTTCTTCTGGAATGCATGGCAGTGTGACAACATTGTTTCAGAACCATCACTCTGGTTAGCTGGCGTCTTACTTTTCAAATACAGATTACCATGGGAAACCCTGACTTTACTTGTATGGCGAGATCATCTCTGTAGGTATAGTTTCCTTGATGAAAATAATAAGTTGTCCTTTACAGTTTTGTGATACCGGAATGATGCGGTATCAGCGTCCGTCGCCTTACATCTAGTGGCCTAGAGGATCATTTAAGCAGGCCATGGCTCCATGTTGTTTGAGAAC